TAGCGACTAGTTCTCTGGCAAGGCCAAGAAACTCAATAGTAAGCATAACGGAATACAGTGAACAGTAAGACAATATAGCCATGCCAGAAAGCAATTCTGTAATCAAAGACTGCACGTGAGAGATGCACACACCTGCATTGTCTGTAATGCAAATATTTTTTTATTAAATAAAACAGATAATAGAAATAACAATATTTCTAAAAATGAGTATTAGAAATTGGGAGAATACGATAAAAATATATTTCCATTGCCATAAGCAATCCTGTTACCTCCCAGGATGAGAAACCAAGGATGGGCTCCTGGTATGAGTAGAAATAGCAGGAGCTTTTCTCCAGCTCTCTATTTTTCAGTTGGGTCATTGGGTGCTGTCATTTTCTTTAATGAAGGAGACCTAATTGCTTGGCTGCCTAAATAGCAGCTCCTCTCTGCCTTTAATTGCAGGGAACTTGCAGGAGGCAGGGACATCCAGCCCTAGTTCTTCCATTTGCTAGGAATGCTCCCATCTGCCCACCCATATGGTGTTTTTTTTTTTTTTTTAAAGGGCGATATACCAGGTATGATAGTGGACTAACTGCAGCGAAGTAAATGCAGTTTCACTAGATCTGATTGCCTTAAGTAATGCAACCTTGCACAGCATTAGGATTTATTATCAAAGGAGAGTAACGTATCCAAATTAGATTAATTAGTTCACTGCATGAGATATTAAAAGATGTTAATGGAAGTTAAAGGTTGGTGCTTAGATGAGGAGCAGTGGATAGGCTGGAGCTTTGTTTGATCCAAGGTTTTTGAAGTAGAAATTGTGGAGAATGTGCAGTTGAAGAAAGATATCTCTGTGAGAAACCTAAGAATCACAAATCTCATTCTGGAATTATGGTTACAAATTGGATGGAGAATGAAGATAAGGGTGAATTTGAGATGTTTGAGCATTTTAAGTTTAGGATAAGCAGTTTCGTACTGCTTTAAAAGGTTGTAGATATGGTTTCTCTCAAATGAAGGTAAAATTATTAACTTGGGAATATTCTTGTTGAGTTTAAATACTCATTAACTCTAAGGTGAGCTTGCAGTTTTAAATGCTGCCGTAAAATGTTACTGAATGAGAAGAACGATGAAGAAATCACTTCTTCCACATTGTTGTATTATGATCTTTTAGCTGAGTGAGTTCTGACTTAATCTAATGAATACATTTGAAAATTTCAGGAGCAATACTTTGGATGTGGAGGATCTGAAGTGCTTCTCTAGCTTAACAATAAATGTCTTTTTATTTCTAGTTCATCATGTATAGCATTACAAGGGTATTATACCCTCTGGCAGGCCCATTGTTACAGTCCTAATACACGTCAACATGGGGTATTTTATATTTAAACATTTGATTAAACAGAATACATCAACTCCGATGTATGTGCCCATCAGGATGCCAGCCTAGAAAGACTTTTGGCAAAGGAAAGAAATTCAGCTGCTGCAGTTCAGACTTCATGATTTGGCATAGGATGCAGTGCATGACTTCTGTAATTGGATCTACCTTCTGATAGGCTTAGAAATCATGGCCCAGAAAAAGAGGAATAGTCAGATCTGAATGGTCCTAAAAATTGTCTGCATGAGATTTTTTAGGGACAGTGAATCAATAAAAGATATGGGTAAAGCAACAAAGTGGAATTTGGTTCATTCTTTCACAAGACATTATGAGCTGGATGCACTGTGTGGGCTTTTTTCAGAACTATTCTCTAAACAGTGTTTCTAAAATACCTGTCTACATCATCTCTGACGCAGAACCAGTTTGTTAGACCTATTAGTTCCAGATATGAGTAGGAATGGAAATGTAATTCTTATCTGAAAATTTGCTTTTGCAAATTTCTTCAATTTACGTGGCCTCCCTTGTGTTGCCTTACAATGTTTTGGGATCTTACCGAGGTGCAAATATTCAGGCTCCTAATGCATTCATGAATAGCAAGCGGGGAACAGTCAGCTTGCTTATTGATTAGTTATAAGCAATTTGTTCTAATTTACATTATAAAGATTTAAAATATACAGAATCAGTTTAAAACTACAAAAAAGAGAGCCCGATCTTGACCTGCAGTTAATGCTGCTTTGCATAGTGGAGCAAAGCAGTGCTGAAGTCAGCAGAGCTGTACACTGGAGGATCTCCTCCATGTGGGGGAATCCTTGGGTGGCATAGTCTTAGAGGTTCCTATACCACTCCACCCTCCCGGCTGCCAGTACCAGGGGGTGTGTGGGTGAGATAATTCTTGGCTGCCAGAAGGGCCCCCGGTGAGCCATTAGCCAGTGGCATAACATAATGACATCCTTACGCTGCCTTAATTTACTTCAGGGACCATTCTGACACAGAGCACGCCCAAAATTTTGTGTGTGCAAAGGGCATATTTGTGCCTCCATTTCAGCTGAGCCAAATGCTACTCACTCCCTGTTGAGGATCTGCCCCAATGAAAGCAGCACATGCCTTATAGCAGTAACTCACAAATGCATTTATCTCTAATTGCTCAGTGGCTACCAAGATGTTCTGCTAAATCTCAACCATTATTTTAGCAGCTCAGCTGCATAAGGTTGCTTGGAAACCAACCCACTTACCCCTCACATTCCTCCTGATAGCTGTTCTATGCAATAATATCCTCACATGACACACTTGTATCTAGACATGCATCCCTACCTCACTTGAGAGCCGCATTGTAGAGGGTGTTGGTGCTTGAGACAATTACTAAATAATGTGTCACGCAGTAAGTCACTGGGGATATTAAGTCACTGTCCTAGTCAAAATGTGTTCCAGCACTGAATACAAGCAGTTCCACATAGTCTAGTAATCTACTTCATTTTACATTACCTTATATTGAGGATCATTTCTAATTTAGTCTTTCAGATGTGTACGTACGTAATGATTGTAACCCATATCCTAATCTCTCTCTTCCTTTCTTTCATATATTCCCTCACTTGTGTCATGCCTAAATTTAGATTGTAAGTGCTTCTGGATAGAACTGGGTTTCTTCTATCCATTTCTGTAAAATGCCCATCACAGATTTAGAGACACAACAATCAATAATAATAGAAATCTGTCTTGTGGGTTTTATTTTTTTTACTTGACCTGTTTTCCTGACCTTTGAATCAATGGCCATATTAGTAATTCCCACTACCGGATGAAGGCAGCCATTATCAATGAGCTGCTTTAAAACTGCACCAGATGTCTCTGGTACTTATGGCTAGGAGGTTTTCAAATCCGCTTTTTTCCTCTCCTTTTTACCCTATTTGACAACAATCTTGCTTAATTGCCAACCTGACAATTTGCTGCTCTGGGCAGGAATGACAGTCAACCCCAAGCAGTGGGAGGAAGACTTGCAATTAATGAATTGTATATGGTGCCATATCAGCCTTCGTAACAAAACATATGGCTAAAAAACAAATAAGTTTAACCCTCCGCCTCCAAACCCAACCATACATGCAATGACTCAATACTATGAAATTAGCAATTTCACATTTTTCCTGTTAATCTTGTTTTGTAACCATGAGCTGCACTTTTAAGGCCCAGTTAAAATAATTTGGTTTTATGTACACAGATTGTGGACTAAGGTGTGCTGTTTCTCCAGGGACTCATACTTTGCCAAGGGAACCCACATATCCGTCGTTTAAAAATTAAAAATGCATGATTATTCTTTTATGGATTTGTATAGCACTGCAATGGTACACTCTGCATTACAAAGCTAACAGACCCTCTCTCTGCCCTAAAGAGTTAGACCTAACCAAAACCAGGCAAAACCAAAGGAAACTTAAGGAGCTCATTGGCAAAGAGGCCAACTTAGGAACGACTGGTGGAAGTGTGTGCTTTAAGGAAGGTTTGGAAGGGAGAGCAAGGCTGCTTGATGGACAGAAGTGAGACAGAGTCAAAAAGCTGGGAATGGGAAGAGCTGTAAAGAACAGTTAAGGGAAAGGACTGGGAGTAAAACTGGAGGAGGAGTAAGTGAGGGTAGAATATATTAGACTTTGAAGGTGTTTGCATCAGATTTGGCAAAAGAAAACCGAAGAACAAATATGCAAATGAGGAAATGAAAATGTGAAAGGCAGAATTATAAAAATCTAATTTTAAAATATGCTAGTGCAATAGGGAGATGGCCCTCAGCAGAGATTTTCTGACTTTATTCAATCTTTCAATGATGATATACTTAACAGGACAATATTCAGGCCCTTTTCCATTTCTCTAACAGATGTGTGGCATACCGTAACTCTAGTGTGGACCTGTATTGTGACAGGCTGTGGCTCTATGCATAGTCCCTTCCAGACTGATTTTGCCATGGCAGGAGTAACCTGTGAGAAAGGAGGGGAAACTAGGGCAGGGCACATACATACTATAAACAGGCTGAGCCCATCCTTTGACTCTAGGTCCTGCCTTTTCATACTTCCATGGGTTAAAGAGTAGGGTGACACACCGTCTGACCACCTCTTTTTCCATGGACTTGGAAAAGGCTGTCTGAATTTGACCCCACAACAGCGATGAGATTGCAGTTGATAGGAGGGTTGCTCTTAACACAAACACTTTTTTAAAACTCCATTTCAAGTGGAGAATATGTTTGCTTGGGTTTTGGTTACATTCCTCATCTTTTTCTTTTTAACCCATCTCCTCTAAAATATGTTTAACCATTGCTCCTACTCTAAATGGGATACACCTAGAGAGGCAGGGAAATGGAGCATGACAGAACCACATGTGCCACCATTCTGAACTGCATGGAGAAAACTGCAAAATGGAAGGGATGGAGAATAGGGCTTTGAAACCAAAGTAATCTTCATTGCTTTCCCATAAGCAAATAGCTACTTCACTATGACATATTTGCTTACATGGCACAACAAAAGCCCTTAAGTGTAACTATTCATTTCATCCCTCTTGCTCAGGCAAAACAAAGCATATACATAAACTAGAAAGCAATGAGTGAAGAGACTAAAGTATGGGGGGGGGTGTATGTGTGCAGGTGTGTGTGAGAAGAGATACTTAAATAAGCAATTACCTGGTCTTCAAAGTCAAATTCGGTATCAGCGACATCTCCAGAATCCATAATCAGACTTAGATCAAGTTCATTTGGCCCTAAAATATGAAAGGAAATTAAACTTCAGAAATGGACTGGCAGTTTTCACTTCACATGATGGGACATAGTTATATTTCCAATCTCAATCTGGTTCTTTCATTGTCCATATGTTTGGTTTTTTTTTAAACAAAACTTAGCCAAGGAGTCACTTGTATGTGAAAGAATACCAATCTGTGTGATTGTTCTTTAGAGATGTCTTTTAAAAGCTACAACAATCCTAATAATGAGTGGCTAATGTGATTAGTATACTGTCTGAATTACAGTGCCTTTCATGTATTCTGCAAAGTGTTGTACACTGTGCAATGCACTACAAAAATGTTACTGGAATTTTAATTAACTATAAAGTTGGTGAAGAGTAAACATAATTTTATACACAAAGGGATCAATTAATGGTTCTCAATAGACTGAGAAAGACATAATCTACTTTGTGTATACTAGTAAATCAGAATGGTTGCATTTTACATTTGCTTTGCTCTGATGTAAATGACTGCAGGGCATTGGAAAAATAGAGCTCAATACCTCCAGAGGTGCTGGAGGTGTCCAGGGCGAAACTGGTGTGGTAGGAACATCTATCAATCTCTTAGTCCAGATGTACCAACATACAGGATAGAAGCAGGCCCCTAGCACCTGCATCCCAGAAACATCTATTCTGGGACCACCAGTTCTGCCAGCAACAACTCCCCAGTGCTGGCAAATGGATTATGGCAGTCCCCTGTGTTCTGGGGAAAGGAAGGGTTCCCTGTTCCCTCTACTGGAGTAATAATTTAGCCCCTTTCATAGCTCATCACAGCCCACCAGTATTTGGGACTTATGAAAAGTTTCAATGGGCATATTGTTACAAGATTATTTGAGTTCCTGATAACATAAACTCAGTATATCTTCTAGTTTTTTGCCATCACTTCAGTAGACTAATTAAAAACAAAATTTACTACTCTTATTTAACTTTCAACTTGTCATCACTCCACTGATTTACAGAATTTTAAACCCTAACGTTATAACAAATTCAAATAATGAGAAAATCTAGGACCCAAATTTTGAGTCCATTCTAGACTGCAGCTACAAATTAGCTGTCAAGAAGCCCGCTGAGGGCCTAAGCACCATTTACCAATTTGGGAGCAGTGAAGAACACTAGAGCAGCTAATAAATATAATTTTTGTTGTGACCCGCTGTCATCAGTCAGGGTTATGGATGGGGAAGCAGGAATGATGTTCTGTTGGGTTGCATGTGTGATCATGCAGCAAAATATCTTCGGGAGGAACAGGCACTATTGACCACATAGGGCATGGCTACACTTGCAGATGTAGAGCGCTGTGAGTTAAACCTGCCTTCGTAGATCGCAGTAGGAAAGCGCTGCAGTCTGTCCACACTGATAGCTTCAAGCGCACTGGCGTGGCCACATTTGTGGCACTTGCAGCGGCATTGGGAGCGGTGCATTATGGGAAGCTATCCCAGCATGCAAGTGACTGCAATGTGCTTTTCAAATGGGGGTGGGGTGGAGTGTGACAGGTAGTGTGTTGTGTGTATGTGGGGGGAGAGAGAGTGGGTTTTTGGGGTGCTGAGAGTGTGTCAGCATGCTGTTTTGTAAGTTCAGACTTCCCCCCCACCCCCCGCCTCTCTCTCACTCACTCAAAGCAAACAGTAAATGTTTGCTTTTTTTTGGAGCTGATAAGCAGCCAGCTTCTCCGAAACGGAGCTTTGAAAGGGCATTTCACAACAATGACAAGAGTGGCCACTTGACGTAAGGGGATTATGGGACATTTCCGGAGGCTGATCACAGCGCAGTAACGCAACACCTCATTCACACTGGTGCCGTGGTCGAGGTGGAGTACCAGCAGTGCTGTAGCTGCGGAGTCAGAGCGCTCTATGTGCCTTGCCAGTGTGGACGAGGAGTGAGCCAAGCTGCCTGGGGCTGCTTTATTGTGCTGTAACTCGCAAGTGTAGCCAAGGCCATAGTCTTAACGCTGCCACTGATCTTTTGATTAAATGTTTTTTTTCACTATTAAAGCTAATCCTTATTTTACTGTGTATATGGAGAGCTGTCTGTATCATGCACTATCCCCAAAGGCTTTACTGTTTTGTAGTTCCCAATTCATTTAAGCATCAGCTATTTTTGTTTATTTTTAACATTTACATAGTAATAATCTGTGTAGGTGGTGAGATGAACAATAAGAGAGAGAACATGAGGAGCAGAACTGGATAGCATGATGAGTAAAACCATAAAGCTTTGTAAAAGGAGATGACTCCAATGCTGTTTAATTTGCAATCTATATTATAATTGGCCAAATTCATCCTTGATGCAGCTTGTTGACTTTATGGGATTTACACCAGGGATGGATTGGCCCACCATCTGTTTGTGTGGGTTTTTAAAAAAAATGTTCTTGTATACATTAACAATTTGTTATATTAATACAATAGAAAGGGATTACACTTTCCCCATCTTTATAATCGGAGATGCACCTGTGCTGCATTCTGTACGTTGGTATAGGTGTTTTGTGAGGTGTTCTAATGAAAATACCTGTTTTTATAGATAGGTGCAAGAGAACAGAATTAAGATTACTATGAGAAGCTTAATTAAGTTTCTTTTATTTTATGCAACTGAAGTCTCAATCTTAATATTGCATAAAGGTAGACAACTAAGCCTGAATCTTGATTGAGAATGACCTACCTTGAACTGCCAATTATTTTTAAAGGCACTTTTTTACAATATTTGATTAACTATCACTAATATTCCTTATCTACTGGGAGCAATATGTCTCCTCCCTAACTAGGAACATTAACATTAAATATTGAATTTAGAAGCTACGTCCTTTTTAGGGAAATAAACTACCACAAACTTTTAATGTAAAGATTGGGCTGAAAGTTAATGGTCACACACAATATATTTTAAACTAGAAAAGCCATAATAGTTCTGTATTTTTAACATGGAAAATTGTCTAAGGCAGTTTTTCCTTGAACTCTGAGGCTTGTTTTCTCTGCAGAAGTCCCAACTCTTTTGCAAGGTTCAAGAAAGGGTAGGATAAATGGAGAGATTTTTTTTTCTTTCTTGTTTTCACTGAGAACTTAGCGAAAGGAAAACCATCTGTCACTCTCTGAATATTCTACAGAGAGCTATGCTTTTGGTGAGTGAAATAAAAAAACCTAAAAGAGATGCCCTGCAGTACACTGTAGTAAGAGGCTATTGCGAGAATAAGGAAAAGCAGTAGGGACATAGTGGAGCTTTTGGACACCATTGCTGCAGTATTGATAGGAGTGGAGAATGGGGTACGTAGTTTGCCAGTCTGACTGTACTGTTAGGGGGAGCACACCTAACTTTCTGGACCCACACTAAAGCCTGCTACTACAGGGATGGTACGGGAAGAGAGCAGGCTTGCTGGACATCCACTAAGGAGAATGGGAGTCGGAGAGGGCTAGTTGATCAACCTGTATAATAATGGAAGTGATGAAGATGGGGATGGGAACTGCCACTGACACACTAGAAGACCTTGAAAGATGTGGGGGAAGTCAGAAAGATGGTGGATGTTTTAAGTCTCAACCCAAGTTTGCTTAAAACTTTCTGTACCAAGTTTCAGAAGGCTTATGCTAAACTGGTGTTGCTGTTATCAGTATTAATGGGGAAACAAAGAATTCTGAACTCAGGACCAGGCAAATAAGTGGATGAAGAAAGAGTTGTCAAATGTTTTCTTTAAAATATCAGTGCATGTTCATGGCTAGTCTATATATAGCAGTGGTCTGGTAATACCCTGCAATCATAAACAAGGTTTAATTAATATTGGTTTTTTTTTTTTTTTTGCATCTTTCTTCCTAATGTTAAGCTTGTACACAGATATAGGCTGCAAAGCACTTTAGCACATGGTTAAGACCAAGGGGTACATCCTTAGCTGGTGTGGATCATTTTGCATTCCATTGTCCCATTCCATTACAGCATTTAAATGCTTGCTTAACATTACGCACATGACAATTTACATCAGAGCTACCCATAGATATCTCAGTAATCCTATTGGCTTCAATGGGCTACTCATGTACTTAAAGTTACACAAATGCTTAAATGTTATGCTGGAATGGGGTCACAGAATGCAAAAACCAAGACCTGATCTGAAAAGGTGCATTTATAACCTGAAATACCTCTTTCAGTTTTGACATGTATGTATATATGGGGCTGGGGAGAAATCAGTTAATTTTCATGTGTACTGTTTTCCAAAGGGGACAAATGGAAAGGATTTTATTACAGTTGAGTACATTTTTAAAAAATTTCAGTTTACTTCTTTATTGGAGCTCCCTTAGCTAAATAATCAGCTCCACAAAGAGGAAGAAGTTATTGAAGGAAGAAAGTACTTCAGACAATTTTATTTGCTTTTGTGCTAAACTTTGCATCTTCAACACAAAGGGCAGCATTTATGCTATCTTGTAAATTGAGAGTTCATTTTTAGTAAAGATTTGGCTCAAATTTTGACACCTCTTTTGTCGTTATGAAGCTGAATTGCACAGAACTGTTAGTGAAAAACTATTATCAAGGTATAACTCATGGGCGGATACGTATAACAGATGTCTGGATCTAGCACAGAAATGTACCCCAGTGTTAATTTATTATGTTCATTTATATCATTGAGTCAAATTATGCTGATCTGTCTAAATTTAGCTGCTGTTAATTTGCCATTAAAAGGTAGCAGAATCACATTGATGCAAATTAATTAAGCAGCTGTTTGGACCATTTGTATTTCAGTAACGTAGAGTTAATATAGTCCCACACAAACTTAAATATTTTTTTTTATTTGCAGTCCATAAGGCTCAAATATCCTTACACAATATATCTTTTTAAGAACAACTGCATTTGCGCTTTCTACATTTGACATTGTCATAAAAATAATTTTTAAAAAATTCCATGAAACCTAGGTTTGTCTGTATAGTTAAAAAAATTAGGTTTAATACAGTCAAATTGTCCTTTTAGTTTATTAAATTCTCTGAAGAATGGTCTAACTCATTTAATAAGTCTTACATTTCAGCATTCCAAGTCAGAGAAATACTTAGAAAACCATCTTCCAGGGAAAGATAATTAAAAAAAAAAAGATAATTGATTGGTATTAGAATAACAGTTCCATTTTGCTCTCAGTAAAATGTTTCTAATACAAAATTTATTGCAATCTTTAGTGGTGGAATTTCATGACAGATTGTTGCTTTTGGCAACAGTCTTAATATATCTCAGGAAGCCACAATGAAAAAGAATATCGTTATCATCTACGAGCACACTGAATAGCTTTCTTTCTCCAAATATTTGTTGTATAGGTGATTGCACATGGATCTTGTCAGAGTAGTTCAAGGTTTGGCATATCAAATATGATGATGTGAAGCCATGAATGTGTTCAGAAAATAATGTCTGTGTTAGCCACTATGAACCAAATTACATCTGCAATTATGCTAACAGTTTAAAGACAAAATGAACTGGGGCTAAATACTTTTACAAACATTATTGAAACAAGCAAAGAGCCTTTAATTGCCTGCTATTTTATTAATCCTCACATGCTTTCTGAAAAAGAGAGGTACCCAACTGACTGTATCCTCTTTGGTCTGATGCCCAAGTTTGATATGAGAAAAGGCTAATTACTGAAGTGATAGCTCTTAGCCTGGAGACTGGATTACCTCACTTTTGAACCCTATCTTGAAGGAGGACAAAGGCAGGTACAAGGTTCCTGTTCACATGAAAATTCACTCTAACACAGAAGGGCTGAGGGGGAAAAATCCTCCAACATGTGTCGCGGAGCTCATTGACAGCTAATGTGGATATTGGAGGAGTAGCAGATGCTGCCTGCTGCTCCTCTTGCAATGGGTTTTTGGCTATGTGGGTCTATGCAATCTGTAGAGCCACTGAATGCAACCTGTTCTGTGGGTGACACACCCAATTTGTGCCTTTCTGTGGTCCCCCACTGAGATCTCATATCCAAGCCATGCTGATTCCTATTCTGTCAATTCTCCAAATATTTGCCCATTCAAATGGTGAAACATACAATTTCCTTCCCAGGCCTGAAGAAGAGCTCTGTGTGGCTTGAAAGCTTGTCTCTTTCACCAACAGAAGTTGGTCCAATAAAAGATATCACCTCAGCCACCTTCTCTCGCTGAGAGCAATAGCAATTTCGATGGGGTGGGGAAGAAGTCAAGAGTTTGTTTCAGTGTTTTCATCAATATTTGATGGGTATGAAAAACAGATATCACTGCTACATTTGATGTTGAAAGTGAACAGTTTCTTATGCTTGTACAGTAACTCACCTGCCACTGCCTCTTTGGGAGGAAATAGCTTATTGTCGACTGCCATGCTTATGTCATAGAAAACTTCCTCTTCGTCCCTGTCCGCATCAAACTGTTGGAAAGGGAGAAGGCAGTCAGACACTTCTGGACAGGATGAATTATTTAGATGAATGATATTATATAATATGCAGTCCAATCCTAAACCATTAAAGTCAATGGGAATCTTTCAATTTCCTTCCATGGGCTTTGAATCAAGCCCTTAGCTATGATTCATTCCATTGCCAACTTGTCCATTTTTCAGGGACTGCAGTTAAAAAGCAGTTGAGTTGTTTTAAAAGACTGACATTTCCAAGGTAGAACCTCAGAAAACAATATTAGTAATACATAGCACTCTATTTGACACTTTTTCTGCCATCCAAAGTATCTATGTGGAGACTGTGAAACTACAGATCACATGAATAGTTCTTATCACCTGATTTTTAGGGGGACACTGTAACAAAATTAATTTAATTTGTAAGTCAAAATTGTCGAGCTACTTCTGAACTGTGGCTTAAACTAATCTTTTTAATATGTGTGCCGTTCTTTCAGAACTTCAGTGAGTTACTGGAAAAATGAAATACTTTTGAAAACTTACATGTAATAAGCGGAGGAAGAAAAAGTTTCCTTTGTTTATTGCTATCTGATATCTGTACTATCTTGATTAACATAAGTTTACAAAATCGCATGGAGGTAGAAGTCCCCTTAAAATTGTACAATAGCTTCTTGAGTTTGACTTTTTTCCTTCTCTCATTTATAAAATCCTTTGTCCAAAGTTTGACTTCTGTTTTCCTACATCCTAGTCTCTCATCTGTTTCATGAGCTCTCTGTCCCAATCCATCATTTTACACTGTTTTCCCGTTTCTGATATTTATCACTGCACCATTCAACTAGATAATTTTTTTATTTATTGTTCCTACTTAATAAATTATGAATGCCTGCTTGAAGATGATTCATGTTTTTCTTTTATTGATTTGAATATGTTGCCAGCTGATTACCTTCAGTGTTCTTCATGTTAATTGAACATGGAAATAAAGGGGAAAATGTACATTTCGGTACTTTAAGCTGCCTTTTCTCCTCAGCTGAAGCCAGGTATGTTTCCAAGAGAAAACTAAACACTCAGCATAGACTTAGGGTTAAATCCATCCCCCACTCCCGATCCACTGCAAATCATTCTAAGTTTCTGTTAAACCAAACAAGCTTTCAGCTGTACTTATACATGACCAAAATAAAAACCAGGTTCCAGATTATGAACTGATCTGTTCTGAGTGTTTATATACATCTTGAGCTCCTTTCTTGTCTATGAGGCTTGGAGCAATTTTAATCATAAACTGGCTTCTTGGCACAATTTTCCACATTATGGGGTCATTTTTCATGTCCAGACTAATGTGCCTTGTGATGCAAAATGAGCCTAAGGGGCAAATAGCCGTCCACTGATGAATGTGAGTTCATGAGCTTTGATGGGCTTGTCCTCTCAAGTCTGAAACTCTGCTGAACAGCATGCTCCAGCTCTATAGTCAATGTCTGCTTGTCTTGTTTTGTTTGGGGATCCAGGAGCGTGAGATTTCTTAGCGAGATTATGAAACAAATGATTTAGTATTAGTGATGCAAACAGCAATAGGACCTCTTGTTAAAAAGAATTAATCTTCTTATTTCTATACCTTGTGCTAGTACCGTAATTTATTACACTCTGTGTGAGAGAAGCCTGGCTGCGGCTGCAAAGGTGCGAACCCTTTCACAGCCTAGTCTAAATGCTGGTTGGGACAGGGCTGCAGAAAGCTGGCATCGGTGGAAGTTTAGTTGTTCTTCCAATACTTATCATGTACATTGGTTAAGAATACAGTGTGACACCCAAGGATTTATTCAAAAAGCTGTTAAAGCCCTTAGCTAGCCTCTACTTTTAGAAAACCAGTGACACCCTGTTTATTAGCCCGCATGGTCCTTCATGACAACTTGTATAGGACTCGCACTATACAAACTGTTTTGTATTTGTTGTTTGTGGAATTTCCTTTCAGTACCTATTAGTGGATTTAGAGGCAAAAAAGAATCCAAAGGAAGAATCTCTGATGGCCATTCATCATAATAGGTATCAACAGACAGAGATAGAATTTGTGCCTTGGAAACCCAGAGAAATAGTCCTGAAAATGGGGAAAGAATAGGAAATTCTGGAGAAAGAATAAATCTAACAAATGAGATTCTGGGAGCAGAGAGAAACAGGGCATGCTGGAGGAAGGCATCTAAAAACTTGAAGAACCAGTGCCAATAAATCAAATCCTACATAGCCACCTGGGTGTCTTCAGCATGCCTAGGATTTCACTGCCCTATTCCTTTTAGTTTCTCCCTCTAAGGCCTCACAGAACCATCACCACTTTTCTTCTAATCCTGTCTTGACTAGGATTTAAAGATTTGACTAAAACTCTAGTCAAGACAAGGAAGTTGCACTTCCTCATGCTAAGCTGGTCAAGTCAAAGCCTTAGGCATCCCCCCTCCCTCCTTAGGTTTTAACTTCACCAGTTTAGCATGAGTTAAAGAATACTCCTTCCTTGTCTACACTAGCCTTTTAGAAGGTGTTAGTTAGATTAAGCAAGCTAACATGATCTATACCTATGATCTTTTACAGCCTAGTCGAGACAAGTCCCTAGTGCTGGAAGGTTGGATGTGAAGGTTTGTCTAAAATGTTCCCTGTGTGGAGATACTCCTCTTAAGCCCAGCTGCTCCTGGAATTCAAGATGGGGTTGGTGAATGTGGCTGATTAGGTGTTTGTGATCCTTTAATAATTTTTAATCACTTACATAGGGCATTATTTTTACATAGGGCTTTACAAACACGAACTAAGGCTGCATCTACACTTGGAGCTGAGGGTGCAATTCCTAGCTCAAATAGATGTACTCACACCAGCTCCCTTTGAGTTAGCATGTATAAAATAGAAGTGTAGCTAAGGTGGCATGGATAGGGATGAGCAGTGAGGCAGGCTAGCTGTCCCAAGTAGTTTTGTACTCAGGGTGGCTGGCCTATGCTGCCATTCATCGCTGACCAGGCTATTGCAGCTACGCTATTTGTGACACACTAGCTCGATGAGAGCTAGCAGAAGTATGTCTACTCAAGCCAGAAAATCACACTACAAGTGTAGACATAGTCTAAGCTTCACAACATCGCTGTGAAAGTAGACAACTTAATTATTATCCCCTTTTTATAGATAGGAAACCTAAGGCACATTGAAGTTAAATGATTTGTTCAAGACTGCACAGTGAGCCAGTGGCAAAGCTGGAATTAAAACTTGAGTTCTTGGCTCCTAGCTCCATTCTCAGGCCACTAGACAATACTACCTTCACGATTCTTTCTTTCACAAGTGGACCATACCCAACTTTCCCATCCCTTTGACTTCTGGATTGGTTACTGCAGTGCACTTTACATGGGACTGATGCTGAACACTGCTCAGAAGCTACCTCTGGGGCATAATATGCCTATCCATCTTTTTAGACAGAATCATTCACAGGGAACATATCGCCTCAGTTCTTCAGGAGTTGCACTAGCTTCCTATTGACCTTTGGGTGCAATTCAAATTGATTTGGATTTAGAGAGCTATGTATTTGGATCCTGACTATCTCAGAGATTGCCTCTTTCCCTGTATACCGTGACAACAAGTGAGGCAAGTGTGGTCTTCAGCCTTAAATTTAACAGTCTGTATAGTGGTGGCAGTGCAGTGTCCATGGAGAGTCCTTGACTTTGGAATTTAATAATCTAGCAGTGGTCGAGTGACCTTTAAAATGAATCCCTTCACTCAGGCCTTTTTCTAAGGCAGAATGGTGGACTTTTATATCTTGGAGGGATGTCCTTTTTATGTTGTTTCGTAGCAAAAACAGTATATTTTGTTAGACTTTGTACATGCTACTTGAGACATTGTAGGGGGCACATTTTATAAATCAAAAATAAATACTTATGGCACATAAATCAGTGAAGTGCTGTCAGATAGTCTAATTGCTATCAACCTGGGCTGTGTCACGTTTGAACTGATGAAAGGCTCTGTATCCCAGTATTAGCAATGCCTTGAGTAACCCAGTTTGCCGTGGAAAATTGCTAGATCTTTTTGAAACATTCTAAAGGTTTCCCAGAACTCAAAACATAGCTTTATTCTCTCATTCCGGGGACACCAGATGTGTCTTTGCACTCTGAAAATCTAAGTTGTACAGTGAAATCCTCTTATTGCAAACCAAAGAAAATCAATTATTTGAACACTTGCACTTAATTCAGTTTCTCCCTTATGTTATGGGACTTGTAATGCCCTGAGCTGTGGGAAGGAAGGTAATTTCAACTGGGAAAATATTTTTGAAAGAAACAGAGATGTAGTTTTGTACTTCAGTGAATTATTACACATTTTTAAATTGCAATTCTTTGATAACTACCAGATACTTGAATAGAACATAAGGGTGCTCAACTGACCCTATTCAGTTTTAAACAATAGCAAAACCCTTATAGATTCATAGATTCATAGATTCTAGGACTGGAAGGGACCTCGAGAGGTCATCGAGTCCAGTCCCCTGCCCGCATGGCAGGACCAAATACTGTCTAGACCATCCCTGATAGACATTTATCTAACCTACTCTTAAATATCTCCAGAGATGGAGATTCCACAACCTCCATAGGCAATTTATTCCAGTGTTTAACCACCCTGACAGTTAGGAACTTTTTCCTAATGTCCAACCTAGACCTCCCTTGCTGCAGTTTAAGTCCATTGCTTCTTGTTCTATCCTTAGAGGCTAAGGTGAACAAGTTTTCTCCCTCCTCCTTATGACACCCTTTTAGATACCTGAAAACTGCTATCATGTCCCCTCTCAGTCTTCTCTTTTCCAAACTAAACAAACCCAATTCTTTCAGCCTTCCTTCATAGGTCATGTTCTCAAGACCTTTAATCATTCTTGTTGCTCTTCTCTGGACCCTTTCCAATTTCTCCACATCTTTCTTGAAATGCGGTGCCCAGAACTGGACACAATACTCCAGCTGAGGCCTAACCAGAGCAGAGTAGAGCGGAAGAATGACTTCTTGTTTCTTGCTCACAACACACCTGTTAATACATCC